CAAGCTGAAAGCCCCCTCTTGCCCTTTTGCTTCCTCCTAGAGAGGCCGCAGTGCCCCTCACCTAACCAGCCATTCGTTTCCATCTTTACAGAGACAGCTGAAGCCACCAGTTCCTTTTCCACGCTTCCTTGTAGGTTCAGTCCCCAATATCTTCCCCCCATGCGGAGCTCATCAGCCTGCTTGGCAGGGGTGTGCTCCAAGGCTGACCTCTCACCCGGACAGGGAACCTCTCAAGGGCAGGGACCTTGTGTTTTCTCCATATCCCTTGCCCCGGCCTCAGATTCATCCAAGAGGAGATCAAATCGATAGTTGCTTAATTCACTTAGTTCTCTGAGCGTTGCACTCAAACACATTCCCTCCTCTGTGTCCTGGCAGGGTAAACCTTTCTATCTGGCCCTGCAGTTACTGAGCTCTAACGGCTGTGGGGTGCATGTGGGGGGGTGTGTGCAAGTGGCGGGTTTGATCTCATCTGTCCTTGAGAGGCTGCTGGGGCAGCAAGTGATGACAGCACTCCACTTTAGGAGAGGGATTTGGGGAGGTCAAGTCCTTGTTGAAAGTCACAAAATAAGCATGTGCCAGGTCTGGTTCTATTGACTCAAAATTTAGTTTTAGATTGAACTAAGATTTAGGTTGAACTAAGATCTGTCCTACTAACATAGCCTCACTGTCAGTTGGCACATCTGCAAAATGGATCTATTGGCACTGAAATTCAAAGGGCAATTGAGGGGTAATTGGGGCCCACAATTCTAAATGCTTGTCCTAAGACCTGCATCAGAACCCAAAGATGCCGCTTCTGGATGCTAATCCAGAGTAAGAAAGAATATTTAGGGGCGGGAGCTATGAAACTATGATTTTAAATGGTGCAGAAGTCCTCTGATGTGCAGAGTTTGGGGACCCTGAGACACCCAAGAAAAGCTTGGGATGTAGTAGGTGCTTGACAAATGTTAGCAGGGTCCAGATTACATAAACGAAGAAGCATGAGAACAAAACTGTTGGCATCCACAGCTTCCAGGCATACATTGTTGTGTGCCCTTGGGGATGTTACCCAGTTTCTCAGACCCTGCTTCCTCATTAGCAAAATGGATCAAAAATAGAAATACCCACTTTCTAGGGTATGGTGAGGGTTACATAATAATATGGAACAACACAGCACTGCTGGCTTCCAGGCCATCTGCAAGTCCCACCAACTTCAAAACCACCTTAAGTTTGTCCCTCTTGCCACCTTGCCATGTCCATCTCCACTCAACCAGGTGACCACGTCCTCTGTCCTACAAGGTTTCACCAGCCTCCTTAAACATCCGCCCACCCCCTCTCTCAAGTCATTCTCGGCACAGGCAAGTGGTGCTATCAAAAGTGCATTGGATTATGTCAGGCTCTGCTTGCAATACGCCAATGACTTTGGCCACACCGAGACAACCTTCCAGGCCCTGAATATTCTGGTCCTTGTCAGATCCTTCTCCTCCCAGGGAGGCTGAACTGACCACCCAAGCTAAGCTTATTCTAAAACCCAGCTGTCTTCCTTTATTACCTGAATTAAGGTGCAGGGTATTTCCATTTATTTGCATTATAGTTGTTTGTATTCTTTTCCATCAGGTAAGTTTCACACTTATATTACTTATTTTTTTAAAAGATTTATTTATACAAGAACTCGGGTACAGACCAGAGAGAGGCAGGAGGGTGAGAGAATTCACCAGGGACAGAGTGGGGAGCAGAACAGGCAGACGGTCCCAAGACACTGCTGAGGGGAGCAGGGGCAAGGCAGGAGAGGTCTGCCACACCATGGGGTTTCTCCCTGGCTGGCCAGGAATCAAACCTGCGTTGCAGAGGCTGCGGACAGCTTCACAGCACGGCGCTCAACCTGCTGTGCCACCGGGGAGGCCCCTTATATAACTTATTTTGCCAACCATTATACACCTAGACTAGCACACCCCCTGACACACAGGAGACCTGCATAAATAATAATGAATGAGTGAATGAATGAATGATTCAACACCACACCCACATGTAAGGTACAGCCAGCAGCAAAGTAGCTCCCTCCCCCTCCTGCCTCTCGTCTGCTCTCCTGGTCCTGTCCCCAGAGCCTGCAGGTAAAGGACAAACACCACACATCAGAGAGGAGACACGGTGATGCCCAATGTCATCGCCGCTTTATTTGATTAGCTCCGACTCCAGCATCCGGGACACGTGTGCTGGGAGCCGAAGCGACTGTACCCTGACCTCTGGCCCACCAGATCCCATCCTTATAACCATTTCCATGACAACAGCACCAGAAAGCCAAGGCTGTGAATTCCCTTTGATAGGAGCCGGATGCAGAGACAGGGAAGAAGGACTTTCAGAAGAATGAAGCCCTTTGATTCAGCTCAAGGCGCCTTCATTAAATACTGCTATTTTCCAAGAACACACATTTTAACCCTGCAGAGGGAGATTTCTCATGAATACTAAAAAAAGAACAAGAAAGAAAGAAAACCAGAATGTTTTTTTTTTTTTTTTGCAGGAATGTTCACCTGCAGGGTGGGGGAGGAAGGCCTGGAGGCTGCGGCATCCCCATATTTGATGGGAGACAGGCAGAGGACGTGGTCCCTGGCCAGGGGGACGCACGACCCTCAGAGGCCTGGCTGCTGACCAAGCACACACGCTTCTCCCCTTACCTCAGGAAAGTCTATAAAGGATCAGGGTCTCCCACCCACCTGGTCAGCCTGCCAGACAGGAAGATCCAGGCGAAGGCAAAAGAACCCCCGGATTCCACACTTAGAATCATAAACCCTAGATGAAACCCTGGATTTGAAGCCCAGTTCCCCCATCCACCCCCTGTGTCACCTCTGGTGCTTTGCTGCCCACCTCTGGATGGGAGCAATACCACTCTCTCTCCCCCAGGGGCATCAGGAGGGCTGAATGGGGCTGCATTCATGCACAGGAGATTCCAGTTTTCTGATGATGTGGACATAGTAGAGGAACTGACTGTCCTTGTTTGCCCGGATCAAGGGACTGTTAGCACCAAACCAGGGTAGTGCAGGACAGGTCACCCTAGAAGGGAGTGACTTGATGACAGAGATTGTAGAATTGTCAGGAGACAACTGTCTCTGGCTTAACAGCATTGCATCTTTGGAGAGCGCTTTCCCCAAACCCAGAAACCTGGCCTAATCGGGAGCAAGCAGAGAAACCCAGCTTGGGGGATGCTCTCCAGAACGCCTGACTGGTACTCCTCAAAACTGTCAAGGTCATTAAATGACAAGGTCAGACTGAGAGGCTGTTCCAGACCAGAGGGGACCAGGTGACACAGATGTACTACCGTGTCCTGGATCCCGGAGCAGGGATAGGACATTAACGGAGAAGCTGGTGAAATCTGAATTTGGCTGTTTTTAAAGCTCTTCTACTTTCAGATGATAATCTTGATTTGAAACTTTTCTTTTTACAGTTGGGAAATTGATCTCTGGATGGGGTTTCCAACACCTGGCGCCAGACACTGCCGCCTCCCGCTGCCTTCCCAGGGACCTGCTGACTGTCATCACCTCCTCCAGAAGAAAGAGAGGAGCCCTGGGTTTGGAGTAGTGAGTATGGGTCAAGGCTGGCTCTGCCTTTAACCTCTGTGTGACCTCGGGTGAAACCCTCACCTGTTCCAGTCCACCATGTCTTCATTTGCCAAAGGAGAAAGACAAGTTGACTGAAATCAACAGGAAGACATTTATTCAGTACTGATGATGTGCAACGGCCTGATGGGCATCATCAAAGATGAGTGACACATAGTCCTGCCCACAGAAGTGTATAGTTTTGTTCAGGAGTCAGATCTGAAAGTGCAGATCATGAATCTGAGTTTTGGGGGGATATTCGGTAAGGATAAAGCAGTCCCTGGCCATGCAGCATGGCTGAGGCATGGATTTCTATCACAGCACAGACACCCAGAAGTGGAGGAGGAAGAGATGGTCATGTTCTGAGATGAAGAGGTGGAGGCAGGGGAAATGCCTTCCCTCTCCCCAGACCTGCATTCATCAGGAATGGCTTGCCTGAGGGAGATATGTAATGTCGGGTAGCACCAAGAGTACGCTCAGCTCAACACCCCAGCAGGGCTCTGAGCCTCCCTACATACTTCCAGCTCCCCATGGAGATAGGTAGCAAGTCCTGAGTTCTTGCGAAGTCATTCTGTTCCAGGACCTCTCTCCCCCAGTTTCCCACCACCCTGCAGGAGAAGAGTTACTCACACTGCTCAGAACCTGCTGCCCCGGGTACTCTGTCTGCACCTGTCACAGCCTGCAATAACGACACTTCTGCCAAAGCCCTCATCCAGGCTGGCTCACCTCCTAGAGCCTCCTGTCAGCCAGGGATGGTGGGGCCCGAAGACCTGGGTTCAAGTCCTGCCTCTACCACTTTCTAGCTGTATGACTTTGGGGTGGGGGTTACCACCCCTCCTTGCCACCCAGTCACCTCACTTATGAAATAGAGATGATCATCCTCATCTCACTCCAGTTCTCTTGGAAACTCAATGCCACAACCTGCACAGAGGTATACGTGGCGGGGGCTCCAGAACGGAACAAGCAGTGATCAATATCATCCCGTGATCAATATCACTAGCACACTGACAGGTGGTGAGGTAGCGCTGCTTGGTATGGCTGCTGGGACTCGGAGTTGGCTTTGCGTGATTCATTCTATTACTATTAGTTTCATAACCAGATCTGTTGGTCATAACCCTCCCACACAAATACACACACACACACACGTGTGGGTGTGTGCAGCACTCAGTTATTCTGTCCCAGGGTCCTGCTCTGCCCAGGGCCTCAAAACTCCTGCTGCCTCAGCCCTCAAAAAGGAAATAGGACTCCTTAGTCATATATAATCCCCCTCTCCTCATTGCCACCTTCATGTGGCCCATCCAGGCCCTCATTGGCCCATCTGCCTATAGACCTCCCTGCAGCGCCATGGCCACACCCAGACCTGGCAGGAAGAGCCTTTCTTTAGACTGTGGCATCCTCTCCAGTGAAGTCTTCAGGGAACTCCAAAACACCTACCTGGCTGTGCACTTTCTCCAGCTCCTCTTTGCTGACTGAAGTCTTGCTCTCCTCCATGGTCCCCAGAAGGAGCTGCACATCTGACAACAGTGCATGGGTCCGCCTGAGGTCCCTCCGGAGACGCTTCTCCACATCAAAGTCCCGATGGCCAATCTGGAAGCCAAGGAAAGGTTCTCATGAGCTAAGGCAGCACAGCAGGGTCTAAGTTTTCAGGAGCCAGACTTCCTAGGTTCACATCTTGCATCTGCCACTGGAGGATACTGTATGACTTTGGAGAAGACCCTACTCCTCCTTGAGGCTCTGCTTCCTCATCTGCAAAACGGGAATGGCATGAGCCACCAGGGTGCTGTGATATGAAATATGTGCTCAGCTAATATAACATACATGTCAGGCGAGGCCTCTGCTGATGAAGACACGACAGCCCCCACCCCTGGAGGGCAGTGACTGGACAGGCGGGAGAGGGACTTTGAGGGCTTATTAATGTTATTAATCTGGGCACTGATTTTGTCAGCTTATGAAAATTCATTGAGCTATTAGGTGGGATATTCTGTGCTTCTCTGTGTGCATGTTACACTTTAGTAAATAGTATTTAAAACAGCCTTGCTTCCTTGGATGATCTAAACCAAGTGATTTCTGTGCCTTAAGATGGTTCTCCTTGCTTGCTGAAGGACAGGTGGATGAGGTCATTTCCTACAGAGGGACCTTGCCAGAGGTAAGCACATTCCTTCACTCAGAATCCTGAATTTACAGGCCCTGAATTTAAAGGACAGTCGCCAAGTGGCACCTGAAGAAGCCACATTCAGAACTGGCACCAGGAGGGGATCTTAAACTGACCATTTCTCACAGCCAAGAATATAAGCTGATACTAAGCAAGGGAGGTGCAGAATTTATCAGGGGCCTGAGATGAAACACCCACAGCCCACAACCCCCCCAGAAACAGATTGCTAACTTAGAATAGACAGTCCCCTCTCAGACCCTTCAAGAGACCAGAGAAAGAGTGTGGCACCATTGATCAGATGGGGTATTTTAAAGAGAATAGGGTGCAGGTGTCTCAGCAGGGGGGCTCTGTTTCTACACACCTGGATATCAGGCCTCTCTGCCAAATGCAAACCATTTCCTGGGATGTTAGAATCTGTGGCATTCTAGAAAGGACTTGGAATTTAGAATGAGGTGGCCCAGGCTTTAAATCCTGGCTCACCATTTATTGGCAGGGGGAACTGGGGCAGAGTCACACCAGCTCTATGAACCTGCTTTTCCTTATCTAGAAGAGGTAACAAAAAAATCCCTGTGCTCTGTGTTGAGATAAGACAAGGATCAGATGTGATAATGGATTGGAAAGCACTTTGTATGCTGTCAAGTGCTTCACAAATAAAAAGGATGATGAGTATTGTCTGATGACCTCAACAACCTCCCCTAGATTTTGCATCCTATTTCTCTACCACCTGTTTTGAACTCTTTGAAAGATGAGTTGGCTCTTAGAATCCAATGTCTTGTTCTCAGATGTATTGCTTTGTTAAGTTTAAAATACTGATATATATACACACAGGTACAAACATGCAGTAATACTGGTATAGATAGAGCAATATCTATTACTATCTCTCTCTATATATATACATATAATCTACCTAATGAGCTAAGCAGGGATGGGGCACCATGCCAGGCTCTTTGGCACATGTGACTGCATTTAACTCCTGTGACAATCGCTGAACAACAGACATCATTACTATCACCTATATAAAAGCAGTCATAGCTCACCCACATGGGGGCTTTCTAAGTGTCAGATGTCATTCTAAGCACTTTATGGATATGGACACTCCCTGTCCTCATGGTGACCCGATGCACACAGGGTTAGGATTCCCATTTTACAGGTGATGAAGCCGAAGCTTAGAGAGTGAAGAGGTTTGCCCATAAGCACACACCTGTTAATAAGTGGCAGAATTAGGATATCACACCTAGCTTTTCTGACTGGGAAAGAGGTCAGTTTAGTAAAATATATGATGGGAGAGATATGCTTTGCTCTTTAATTAAAAAATACAAAAGATGTGATGGAAGCACAGAGGAACATTACCCAGCTGGGACTGGGCAGAGCCTTAGACAAGCAAGAGCTAAGTAAGTGAGGAACAACTGATAAAACCAATGTGGAAATAATAATCTGCCCAAGATCAATCACTGCTTAGGGCCTACAAACGAGTTGAAACCCAGATAGCTGGGCATTAGAATGCAAGTCTCTTCAGAACTGGCATCAGGAGGGGATCTTAAACTGACCATTTCTTGCAGAAAAGAATACAAGCTGATACTAAGCAAGGGAGGTGCAGAATTTATCAGGGGCCTGAGATGAAACACCCACAGCCCACAATCCCCCCAGAAACAGAGTGCTAACTTAGAACAGACAGTGCCCCTGTACCGCAGGACCTCGTGGCACCTGTCCCCAGATTTACTTCCTCTGAAGCCCAGATTTTTTACTGTGATTACTCAAGCTGCATGCTTTGTACCACCTTTCTTATTTTTTATCTGCTTTTGCTCTGAAGTGCCCTTAATTCTCTCCTGGGACTAGTTGACAGCAGGCATGTTCCCTGGAGTTGGCAATGACCATGTAGTAGGGACAGTTCAGATTCTATCATTGTCCCTGCTAGAAAGACCCTGAAAATGGTGCAACATGTCCTTTCCAGAGAGATCATGGCAAAAAATTGACAACAAGATCTCAGACTAAGTCACCCTCCCTCCATAATGAATTGCTTCAGGAGAGGAGGTGGGGAAAAAAGCCTCATTAGGTTAATGGGAAATAAATGTCATTCTGCAAGTTCACATTTTACTGCACAAAGATTTAAATTTAGATAAAGTCGGTGAATAATTAACCAATAAATCTAAGTGATGTTTAATGTTGTTGTGGGAAACTAAACTCAAACCCCAATTGTTTCACCATTTATCATAAAGGCAAATTGGGGCAGTTGTTAAATGTCTGTCACAAAAAATTCTTCACACACTTTTAAAATAAGATCTCTGGAAAGGGTAGCAACAATCAAGCTACTTTACAAATGGGGAAATTGAGGCTTGGAGAGAGAATGTGTATTGCTGAAGGTGCTACAGCAAGTTAATGGTGGGGCCTGAAAACATAACGAAAAAGATGCCCCCAGAAGGATGGCTGTAGTTCACTGGGCCTAATCACTTTTAAGTAGAAGGCACTAGATTAAAAAAATACAAATGTTCCAATAATATAAGACTCATTTCAAAATCCACCTGGACTACATGTCCTTGGGCAATTTGCTTAACCTTTTGAGCTTCATTTTTCTCTTTTATATGGAAGAACAAAGCATTGTTGTAAAAAAATAAACAAAATAGATTAAAAAATTATGATTAAGTACTTATTTTAAAATTTATAAGTGACTACTAAAAGGATAGAAATATGGGGCCTCCCTAGTGGCACAAGGGGTTAAGCACCACACTGTGAAGCAATCCGAGAGTTTGATCCCTGGCCCGCCAGGGAGCAACCCACATGGCGCAGCAGACCTCTCCTGTCTCGCCTGCTGCTCCCCTCAGCAGTGCATTTTGTCAGTCTGCCTGTTCTGTTCCCCACTCTGTCTCTGGTGAATCCTCTCACCACCCCCACCACCCCGTGTCTCTGGCCTGTGCCCCGGCTCTTGTATGCATAAATAAATAAATCTTTAAAAAAATAATAAAAGGACAGAAAAATGGTTGTAGCTTCAGAACAGGGAACAATAGAGCAAAAAGGAACATAGAAAATATTATTTGAAAGACAGATATTGGATGGTTTCACTTATCTGTGAAATGTAAATAACCAATATATACGGGAACCAAATAGGGATGGGGGGGGGAGAAAAAACTAGCAGGAAACTACAAATCAGAGAAATTCAGCAGGGGACGGGGGAAGAGAGTGATTAAAACAGAGGCGGTGGGAACAGCAAAAGAGACTGGGGTGATGGTTCATGGGAGACTTGGTGGTAGGAATTCTATGGGGACTACACCTAAGAAATACACACACACACACACACACACACACACGTATTTCTAAGTGATGTTTAATGTTGTGGGAAACTAAACTCAAACCCCAATTGTTTCGACATTTATCATAAAGGCAAACTGGGGCAGTTGGTAAATGTCACAAAAAATTCTGTATATAGGTGGTTTGTGAAGGGTGAGTGAAATATATGCACATATGGGGGAATAAAGACCCCAGATTATAATAGTGAATAAAAGAAAGAAAATATTGTCAATTTATCCAAAGGCAGGGAGGAATAAAGGAAGTGGCAAAGAAAAGAGATAAAAAACCAACAAATGCTAAACACAAAATAAAGTTATAGAAAAAAATTTCAAATATATTAGTCATTATAACAACTGTAAATAAATTGCATTATCCTATAATGTAATTATACTATTTGAAGTAAACCTACACACACTTTTGCAAAGTTAAAAATGAAGAGACTCCAGGGTCTCCCTGGTGGCGCAGCAGTTGAGTGCTGGGTTGCGAAGCTGCCTGCAGCCTCTTCAGCGCCAGTTCAATCCCCGCAGCCGGTAAGGGTCCCACATGGCACGCAGACTTCTCCTGCCACCCGCTGCTCCCCTCAGCAGTGTATTTCAGTCAGTCTGCTTGTTCTGTTCCCCGCTCTGGCTCTGGTGAATTCTCTCACCAGAGAATTCTGACTATACCCGCGCTTCTGACTGTACCCAGTGCTTGTATAAACAAATAAATGAATCTTAAAAGAAAAAAATGAAGGGACTCTAAAAGGATCTTGCAGGCAAATTAAAAGAAATCAAGCAAAAGAAGGTAAAATCACTCATGGAAATATTAACAGCAAATAGTAAGCAATAAAAAAGAAATCATTCATGCAGGAAAGAAGAACATAACACAATAATAAAAAAAGCTATAACAAATTTAGATGCACTTAAAAACATAGCTTCACAGTTATATAGACAAAATTGTAATTGAATTATGAGTAAAACTTGGCAAAAATCACAATTATTGGGGTCAGAATGGGGGGGTCGCAATTGTATGGGGAATATAAAAATAAAATTTATTATTTAAAAAAAAAATCACAATTATAAAGGGAAAATATCAGAACTCTCAGAAAGAGATCAAGCAAAGCCATAGGTGACTTTTAAAATATAATCACATTGTAAACCTTTTAATTTTTATGGTTTTATATTTGAATTTAATATTTAAATCATAAAATTAATAAATTTTATTCATTTGCCCTACATAAATCCTCAAAAATAGCCAGGTACTTTCCAGTCTATAAATTATTACAGTTGACCAGGAACTGAGGCAAAAAAGATATTTCAACAATTTCAAAGAAAAAAATATTATACACTGTACTACATCATGTATCTAATAGGACTTCTAAAATCAATGTTAAAAATTACTCCAAATAATCATAAATATTAGTAAACTTAAAACTCAATTTTTAAAATACAGGTTGAAGGGGGAAATCACAAAGGACAGGACAAAATGGTTAGCATGTTAAGGATAAGGTGAGAGCAGCAATTCAAGGTGAATGTACTGTTGTAAATGAGACTTAAAAGCATTTGAAGTGGAATAATAAATATCAAAAATGAGCTAAAATTTTCAACATCAAAACTCAACAAGAGAATAATATCTGCATTTATGCTCAATTTGAAGGCAGTGATTAAATATCTATCCTATTCCCCCAAAGAAACTAGGCCCAAATGTATTACAGGCAAGATGTATCAAGCCTTCAAGCAGTACATGATCCAAGTTTTATAAAAATTGTTTCAGACATAGTTACAAACTCATTTTATGAGATTAGTACAACACTAGACAAAGCCTGTAAAAGAAAGTAAATGTACAAACCAATCTTACTTAGGAGTTGGTGTCAAAAAATCTCAAAATAAACAAACAAACATGAACAATTCAAAAGAACAATGTGTTAAAAACCACTGTGACCAGGTAAGGTTTATCTGGGAAATCTAAGAGGCTACCTTGTAATATCTGAAATATAATATATTACAATAATAGATAAGTTATAGGATTGTCAACTATTGCTGGAAAAAATACTTGATAATATTCAACAGCCAAATATCAATTTTTAAAATATTAGTAAACAATGAATTAGAAGACTGAGCCAATCTCATTAGATTTATGTAAACACATTCTGAAAATGTCATGCTTATAGTGAAACTTTAGAAGCACAGCTACTAGGGTCAAAACCAAGGAGAGTGTGTCCACTATTTTCTCTTCTTATACTGGAGGCCTAAACCAATGTAATAAGGTAAGAAAAAACAAAACAAAACAAAAAAAAGAGGACTAAAAATTGGAAAGGAAGAGACAAAGTTACTCTTACTTTCAAATGGCAAGACTGCCCAGGAAGAAAAATCCAAAAGTAGAAAAATAATGAGTTCAGGAGGTTTTCTGGATACAAAATAAACATATAATAATCAGTAGTATTTCCAGATATGACACAATAAATAACTGAAATATGAATACAAAATAATACTTTATTCATAAAGCCATAAAAACTACAAGTTTTCTAGAAGCAAATCTTCCAAAAATGTTCAAAACTTCTGTGAAAAATATGGAATTAAAGATAAATATTTTATTTATTATTATAAAATTTTTAATTTATACTAAAATATATTTTTGAAAGCCACAACTATTTGGAGAGTTATGTTATGTGCATGAATGCAATCATTCAACATAAAAATGATGTTCCCAACAAACTTGCAAACCAATGCATTTGAAAATCAAATAGGCTTTGTTATGGAATTTGTTAAGAAGATCAAAGGATGAAGACTAGATAAAACAATTTGAAAGATGAGCAAGGTATGCTGTCCCACAAGTTATCAAAACCCAGCTGTTAAGACTATAGGGTGCAGGAAAAGACAAATAAATCAATTAAACAGGATGGGTGTAGCCTATAAACACACCCACACATATCTGGAAATTATAGAAAAAATTATTCATGAAATAAAATGAAGGTAATCTATTTCATGAAAAAAATAAATGTCTCCATCATACAATGCATCAGAATAAAATTGTCAAAAACAAAACTTAAGAACTTTTAAAAATATGGTGAAATATTCTTATGACCTCAGTTAAGGAAACATAGCTTAAGCTATAAAAGCTTCAGCCATACAAAGTGACTGATTAATATGATTAGTTTAAAAAAAATGTTTAGTAGTGAAGTCCAACATATAGTGATTATCCACAGAATAGGAGGTAGCTGCAAAATCCACAACCAAAAATGGATTAGCATCTTGTCTAAGGATCACAAATGATCAATAGGAGAAAAGGAGAAGACAAAAGACTTTGAGTGGGCAATTCACATAAGAGAAAACCATAATAAATACAAAAACTGCACAACCACCCTAGTAATGAGGTACAAGCAGCACAGCTTACTACTCAGAGACTGGTAGGAGCTCTAGATGCCTGACAGGGCCGTGTGTTAGTGGGGATGTGGGGAAGCAAAAAATAAATAAATAAAATGCTGATGACAACGAAAACTGCCACTTTGGGGAACAACATCTAATAGTTCTAAAACGGTACATTCCTAGGAGCCAGAAATTCCTTTTCTAGCTACAGACCCTGGAAAAACTCATGCCTGTATATAGTGAGACATATGTAAGAATATGTACCATAATTTTGAGTGTGCAAACAACAAAATATCCACCATTGAAGGGGTGGGATTAAAAATATGAATATAGCGTAGCAGTTAAAATGGATGAACTCTAGTTACAGGTATTGTCATGGACTAGACTCAAGACCACAGTCAGGATAAGAACAGAGGAAAGTGAAGAATCACATATATTGCATGGGGTCAAGATTAAACATATATGAAGAAACATTCCCCACATTGATCTCCTTGACAGAGGGAAGCAATGAAGGGAGATTAGGAATGGAAACCAAGAAGCCATTGTTTTTGAAATGTTTGGTTTCCTCAAAAATATCTGCATCAAATATGGTAAATGTTAATTTATGTGAACCCTGGTTGCTTGGCATATAAATGTGAATTACATTATTCAGTCTACTTTTCTATGTTTGGCAAGAATCTTAATAAAAACATCTAAAATGATCAAATGTGATAATTATTAAAAAGCCCCACTTTGGTGACTGATACAAAATTGGCATTTTATTCATTTAAAGTTTCCTTCCCTTCACAGGAAAATTTATTTTACCAGTAGTAATAAAAACCTTTCTTCACTGGGCTTCCTACTCTGTTCTCTCAAATGGATTAGGCTGAATCAAATGTAACCTTCTCCCTTGTACTCCTGACTATCATTCTAGAATCAGGTATAAGGCTGAGCTCTCTGGCCCTGAAGTTAAAGAGAGAGCATCCTCAAAGGCTCTGCACTCGAGGGCCCCTGCTGGCTTGGCTGAAATGCTAGAAACCACCCCCCAACCCACACCCCACTAAGAAGATTCTCTAGGTCCCTCCTTGATTCCCTCAGCTCCCGACACTCTGGCTATGACAGCCTTGCTTGAGGATTCTCTCGTTTAACCAATTTTTTTTTAAAAACACACACAACGAGTTCTTATTTGTCCAAGGCCTGGCTGCTCTAGATGACCATTTGCAGGAGACCCACATTCCTTTGTGAATAAAGGGAATGACTCTAGGGGAAGATTACTTACAGCAAGATCATTGCTAATTAAAAGACAATGAGCGTGTGTTAAGCAAATATATTAAAATACACTCCTGTGATACATTAAAAGAAATCGCAGAAGCCAGAGGCATTTCTCTCCAGTGCTGGGTTTTCATGTAGCAGCAGTACAGGAAGGAAAGGAATCACTGGATGATGGAGGAGTGATTCTCCCCAATTCTAAAATCAGGAGCGGTGCTCCACTGGCTGCTTTACTTACAGCACAGCGTCTCCGTATTGGGGTGGGGTGGGTGGGGGTGGTGATCTGTTTCCAAGGAACAAATGTCTACAGACATTTGTGGTTGTCACAACTGGGGAACATGCCGCAGGCATCTAGTGGGTGGAGGATGCTGTTCAACATCCTACAGCACAGAGGATACATCCCCCTCCTCCCCCAACAGAGAGATGGGGCTCCAAATGCCCACAGGGCTGTGGCTGAGAACTGACAGACAGTGATGGCAGCAACCCCACACAGCTCTGTCCTCCAGAAGCTCAGGCAGATATCTAGCTCACCCACAGCCATGTGGGCAGAAATGGCCCAGCAAGAGTTTAAAGTTCCCTTTGCCTGACCCAGGGCCTGGGTGCCCCCATCCAGAGTCTTGTTCTAATAAGGCTTTAAGTACAGTGGACTTTACCATTCACCCATTAAAGCAAGTGCTGTCTATAGTCTCAACCTAACAGTTGCTGAAGGCAAAGCAATCAGTGGTCCACACCACTGTGTTTATTTTTAATGGGTTCTTTCTGGAACCCTACTGTGTGTGGACACTAGAAGTTCTTCTAGAAGAGCCAGAAGGTGTGGGCAGGGGCAGAACTGGTAGAGCAGGGCACTTGGGAGAAGCAGGTGGAGGCCAGCTGAAAAAAACTGGCCATGGGCCTTTCCTGAAGACCTCTCCAGGGGACCACCCCATGAATCTGCCCCTCAATGGCTCTGCACTCTCAACAGAGCCCCGAGGCAGGGAATATACCCACCCAAGTGTCTACAAGTATCTCCCCCTTACCTGATCACACAGAGTTCCGATCAAGCCTTCCAAATCCTGCTTCTCGTGAAGGACCATCTGCTTCTCTTCATATTCTTGTTCCAGCTGCATTTCCAGCTGACGGAGCTGTGGGCACAAAGGGCAGATGCACGCATAAGATAAATAAGATCCATCTGGTCAAACCTCACAAGACAGGGTGCCCATCTGAAGTAGGGAGGGATGTGGAGCTCATGGGTCCTCGCCCAGTTCCACAAAGTCTGCCCCAGTGATTGGGCTGTGATGTCTCTGTCAGGGAACTCAGGAACCTAAAAGTCTGGGAGCTGAACAACTATGGAAAGAACTAGCCAATTATGGGAAGCCTTCTTGCCCACTTCCCTAGCCACGACAGATGTTTCCTTCCTATAGCCAGGAACATCACATGAATATTTACAAGTCTTGGCACTCTGACTTTTAAAAGCTCCACATATTACATTCAACATATTAAATTGTCTCCACCTCTCTTAGTACATATACTATGAAGCAATACAAAGTTGCATTTGAGAATATCAGGTGCTGTGAGCTGCATGTTTGTGTACCTCCAGTCTGTTGAAACGCTACACCCAATGTGAAGGGATTTGGAGATGGGACTGTAGAGAGGCTTCAGGCTGAAACTAGGCCATGAAGGTGGGGTGCTCATGATTGGTATTAGTGTCCTTCTAAGAAGAGACATGGAAGAGCTTGCTTCCTCTCTGCCTACAAGAAGGCAGACTTCTACAGCCAGGAAGAGCGCCCTCTCCAGACACCAACTCTGCTGGCATCTGGACATGGACTTCCCAACCTCTGGATCTATGAGGAATAAACGTTTAAGACACCCAGGCCATGATATTCTGTTATTGCAACCTGAACTAAGACTTTCATTTCTGAGGAACTCATTTAACTTATAGCTGGCTCTGATTTCTCAGCAATCACCCAGCAAAGGCAGGTAGTCCCCCACCAGAGTGGATATCCCACTGTAACTGCTTTGTATACCATCTTCCCATCATCCTCTCTCATGTTTTCTCATCCCTTCACCCTCCCACTCCTTGTCATGCCATCAATAACCCTATTTCACAGATAGGCAAACTAAGTCAGAGAGAGCTTATGAAGTGCATCTCCTAAGTCAGTTGCTGCTAAGAGAAGTTAGTGTTCTGTTTCCTGGCCCAGCTCTCCTGTAGCCCAGACAGTCATCAGCATTCCCACCCAGGTCGCTAACAATTGATTTCCTGCCACTGTGAGAGATAGACTGAGCAGAGCAGCCACAAGACATGAAGTCAATGTTGGTGTCTGTCATAAGGAGAAAAACACCTCTCTGACCTCACTCTCTCCATTTATAAATCTGTCCACAGAAAACTCTCAGGAGGATCTAGGTCACATCTCAGGAGAAGGCTCAGGCCTGGCTCAGGGCACTCTTGGAACGCACCGGAAATTGTGCAGCTTTCACCGAAGGGGGCACATGGGCAGGGACCAGGGGCTTCCATCTCATGACCCAGCAAGAGGAAAAAACACTGACTGATAGTCACGTGCATAAGAAGCAAGATCATTTTGAAACTTTCTTTTGAGAGTAAGAGACACCAGGCACTCTACTCATAATCTGCCAAATGAAGAATGAAAAAGCTAAAGTCATTTTGAAAAACATATAAAATAATAACTATATGTCAAGCAAGGCAAAGTCTTCTGGGGTGTGTTCTGTAGAATATGCCCACATGGGGTTCACAGGCAAGATGTGCGGATAGGGAAGCAAGGGAAGCCCATGCTAGAACAAGTGTGGGAACCACCAAGTAACAGGTTCTTTGGCGCAGGACTTACCAGAGCCTTTGGTAAGTTCAGGATTGCTAGAGGGTGCAGCATTGCCCAAGGCTGACTTCTTTTGAGTGCTTCCTACATGGTCTTTTATAACCCAAACATTTGCAATTTGCAAGCAAGGGCACACACGTGTGCGCACACACACACACAACTAGCATCTTGGTTAAGAGACTGGGCTCTGGAGCCACACATACTTGGGCTCAAGTTCCTACCTCCTGACTTCCCAGCTGGATGATCTTGAACAAGTTACTTTATTTTTCTGATTCCAGTTTCCTCATTTGTAGAAGCAGAATACCCTTACTGAGTTCTTATGAGGTATAAATAAGCTGACAGACATAAAGAACCTGGCCCCACATGAAGAATGACAGTCATTTCTCCCAAAGATGCAATAGTGGGAAATAAGCAGAAACTTGCCCCTCAATAACTCCCATCATTTTACAGTTCACAGGTCCCTTCCAGGGAAGGTAGGGCATTTTCTATCTTCACTCCCATTTCACTGCTAATAAAGCTGAGACTTCGGGTGGTTATGAGAGTGTGACTCTCATAACTCAAGGTCACACTGGCCTAGTGGAGCCTGACATCACTGGCTACTCCTAACTGAGCCTGGGGAGGCCTGGCGGGTTGCACTTGCTCCCATATGACCCTGTGGAGGAAGGCAGACAGCAGATGCGGCAGCATCTACCACCTGTCACCTGCAGAGGTTCTGGGAATCACCAAGACCCCCTCCAGCCCTGCCTAGGATGATGCCCCAAGTGCCCACACCCTTCTTTTATGTGGATTAATCATGCCCGAGAGCCAGTCACCCCGCAGGCTGGTCGCCAGGCTCCTCAGGAAGGGCAGGCTGCTTGGAAATTCACGCGCATCAGTATAGCTCATAAATTTCCCACAAACAAGGGTTACATTGCAGAACACCATGCAGTTTCCACATCTGTGGCTCCCTGAACTCACGGCGACCCAAACAGGTAGCAATTATTATCCCATTTGACAGATGAGAAAAATGCAGGGAATTAGCAAGGTTCTGCAATTCCTCCAAAGTCCCACATCTGGTAGTTAATGGAGTTGGGATTTGATACGAGTCACTGTGACTCCACATAAAGCCAGATTGGCTTTCTTGTGTGTCTTATAAACTGGCTCTGAGTGACCAGTGTTGAATACAAAGCAAGGAGCCAAGGAATGGAATCAATTTTTGTTGAAGTTGAGAATTTAAAATCACCTTCCTAAGATCACATGGTTGCTAAGTTGAAAGAGCAAAGATTCAAACCAAGGGCCTATGAATTTCAACACCTAGGCTCTCAACCCCTGCAGTCTACAGGTCTCTGCAGAGAGACTGTTTGGGGAGCTAATAGTAGGTATCAACTTTGGGAAATGCCACCTCACCCTCTCTCAGACGTTCACAAAGCACAGAAGATACACAAGGCCCGAGGAAGGAAAGCTTCAGGGAGGAAAGCTGTTGCAGGAGGCTGAAGCTAGAGCATCCCTCCTACGTCTACCCAGTAAATGTGTGTGTAAGGATGTTTGCCTCTGCACCGGTTATAATAATAGAACATCAGAAAAATCCTAAATGTCTAACAACGGGAGCCCGGCTGCATACATTACAGCAAAGGCCTGGGTGGAAGACTTTTAAGTCATTAAACATGTACACTGCATCTGTACTTACAGGCACAGAAAAAGGCCCAGAACACACTGTGGCATAAAAAGGACAGCATGACCTCGTCTAGGTAAAATGATGTCTCTACAAACATGTGCGTGCACTAGAGTGAAAGAGATATGAAAGAATACTTATAAATAGTCAGAATGATTATGCCTAGCTGGAAAGATTTTAAGGGTTTATGTTTTCTTAGACTTGTTTGAAATGTCTGCAAAGAACTTGAGTAATTGTAAGAAATTATTTGAGTTGTAAGGGAAATAGCAAGAAGACACTGGTCTCCTTCTTGATGCAAAGCACTTGTTACATGGAATTATGGGTTCTTGGCAGAAATCTTGGGGTGATTATGCTGCACAGTTCTAGAGACTTTTGGAAGTTCCCGGATCCTATTTAGATAGAACCCTCTGCTTCAGCACCCTTGAAAACACCTAGGGAGCTAAGGTCTCAAATGGCTGCAGAAAGAACCAGGTCTCCCCCTCACGCCAAGGAAGAGGGCATTAAGACTGATTGGCCAAGGATCAAGGGTATGGCTCATTGCTCACATACCCGCTTCTGGCAGGACTGGCGGACATCCTCCAGCTCCTCCTCTTGGTCCTCACGGTCCTTCTGGTGCATCTGCTTCATCCGCTCGATCTCCAGCTCAAAGCGCTGGCGGAGCTGGGGGCAGTAAAGATGGTGCATTAGGACCACCCGCTCCACCTGCCTTGGCCCCCTGTGTCACCCTTGGCATTTCAACTGCAGTGTTCATCTTTGAAGTACATGGATGAGAGTCAGGGTATCCTGATGGTCAGAGGATGGTCACAAATGGGCACACAGGATGGTCACACAGGATGGTCAGAAATAGCACGTAGAGAGCTCAAATGCTGCCTCTATACCGGCCTGTGGTCATAACAGATACCACTAAACAATTACATTCTTTTCCACTGAGTTTAGAAGTAACCTCAGAATCCTTCTTGACACTATTAAAAATGAAACAAAGTGGTCATGCCTGGAGCAGGCATCTGTGATGGTGCTTTGGAAGGGTGGTGTTTTGCCTGCAAATGCTAACGTTTAAAGTGAGCCAGCTTTATGCCGAGGAACGTAACACAGCCTCTGACATATGCATGCCTAAGCTGTTACCTTGGTCAGTCCACTTTGCCTCTGTTCTGTTCCCTCTCTTCACAGAAAACAACCATCTTAGAATGCTATTGTAGAATTAAATCATGTGGTCCATGTAAAGCACTTAGCACAGTGTGTGGCACATGAATATTACATTCTTCTGCCCAGGATTTGATAGACAGAAAGGAATATCCCCACCCTTCCTGGCAGCCTGAAGGAGATGAGTCTTCAAAACTTGATCAGAGCTGTGCCTGATGTTTGAATTGGGTGATGTTGCATGGAAAGTTCTAGAATTAGAGGCAGAATCATGAGTTCCAGTTCTTTAAGATTTTACTTGATCTACATAACCAGAAAGTGTGCCACGATCTTACCTCTTGAATTCTGTGGCACATTAGAATTACCTAATGTGTTTTCTTTTTTTTTAATGTAAATTCCAGGGTTTTACCCTAGGTCTTGGATCACAATCTCTAGGGTACAGACCCCAAGAAGCTACACTTCTAAGCTTTCATTTCTCTCTTCATTTGGGTTGTGGGTCCAGAGAGCAGCATTTAGAAGGGTTCATTGTGAGAAGTGTGACTTTCTGGCCCTTTATTCACAGCCCAGCAAGCTTTCAGGAGGTTGCAACTGCTGTCCCTAACATGGGAATTAAGCTGAGGAAAAACAAACTTGGTCTTTTAAGATATTGATAATTTTTTCTGTCTTGTAGGACTGTAGCGAAGAGTAAAATGGAAAGCAGACGTCAGAGCCCCTATTACAGTCCCTGGCATAAAGCAGGCTCACTTTAAATGTCAACTTCCTTCCTTGCCTCCTTTAAAATGACAGAGGTTATGGGAAGATAATCCAAAATGAGGAGTTTAAGCAAGTAAATATAATATTTCTTTTTCACTTTTTTCCTAGCCTCTTGGACACTCCTGACATCTGCAATACCATTTATGTCAGTTTATATGAGTTAACATAAAATTCCCTGGAAAAGGTACTCTATTGTAATCAATAAGTATCTCCTGGACAGCTCCAAGGGCACAATGCAGTAGGAGGTTATGGGCGAGGCTGAGGGTGGATGCAGCCGTAGAGTCAGCCTTGCCTCCTGTGTAAGCTGGGGGGTCAGAGGGGGGGGATTTAGGAAGCAGCATTAACTTTGGGGTCTCTGAGGTCATGGGAGTATGTTTTGTTTCCAAGCAGGAGGTCCCCTGATGGTGTCTGAAGGACTTAACTGTTTTCCAAAGTGGTTGCTTCATTCTTGATCGGGGTTGCTCTGGGTCGCTGCACCAGCCTCCGTGATCCCTAATGACCTACACAGGTAGTCTCCCTTCTTCACGAGCCTTCACAGACTCTGAGCTAGGGTTGAGGGATGAGCACCACTCTAATTTCATTGTACAGATGAAGACTGAAGTCTAGAGACAACAGGGGCTTGCCTAATAAGGTCAAACAGAAAATGGGAGCTTCTGGAGGGCCGTGTAGAGGAGATCATATTATAGCCCCTTAAATGCCACATGACCTTCCTGCCTCCAGGCCATTGCATGGGTGGTTCCCTCTGCCTGCACTTTCTTGGTTGATCCACTCAGATTCATCCTTTGTACTCAGCTTTTGATATCATTGTCATTTTCTCCAGGAAGTCTTCCCTGACTATTTCCCAACCCTGCGCCCAGGGCCCGATCTGCAACTTTCCCATAAGACTTAGCATGACTACAATGTTTACAGCTGCATGCCTAGCATCTACGCATTGCCTGACACAAAGCAGGTGCTTAATAAATATGGCTGACTGAGTGAATGAAGGAGTTCTCTTTCTACACTGCTCCAGACTCCATTCCTCCATGCCCACCATTCCCAGGTTTCAGTACTCAGAAGGCTCCATGCCAGTGCAGAGAGAAACAAGAGCTGACAGCCCGGTCTTCTTCTTATCTCAAGTCCAAACTTCCTCCCTTTTGCCAGAGCTTTCCAGAGTTCATCTACTTCACATATTCATGCTGCCTGGTCAGATTGTCTTGAAAAGGGGATTCCAGTCTTAAAAGCTCTTCAAGAATACTTGCTCCTTAGGAGATCCCACCTGAGAAGTTTCTTTACAGCAAAGCATCAAGAAAAGCCATGCTTCCCCTTGAAAAATTGGTTTGTTTTTATCTTGGATATAACAAAAAGCACATCATACATATTTCCTTTTTCTCTCTGGGCACCAGGAATTGTAGAGCAGAAACTCTTCCTGTGCCATGTCTCAAGGGAGGTGCACCTGCATGTCAGCTTACTATCCCCACCCCTCCTTAGCATTTATTTTGTGTTTTTCTGATTCAGATCATTTAATTTATAATATTTCTATTTTATTATGCATATATCGCCTAAGCTGCCCAAAATTCTTTGTGGAATGAGTGGGCAAATAAACAAAAAATCAGACAAAATATTCATCTGATACTTTGTTGAGGGTGCTGGCACAAGAGCACTTGATATTCCTGCCTTATTCCCGGAGTTATTTGCATTTCCTGAAGATTAGCATTCCAAGCTTCCTTGCCAAGGCTATGCACACAGTAGGTATTCAAGACACTGTGGAGTCAGGTGGTACAGGCTCTAGATTCCATCCCTGCCACTTTCTCTGTGTCTCTGAGACTCAGTTTCCACATCTGTACAATGGGGCAAATAACTAACATTTCACTGTATAAGGATGGGGGGATTCCTGAGCTGATGTGTGGGGCTGCTTAGGGCTGAGCCTGGTCACAGACAGCGCTCAGTAAATGTCCGATACTTGGTTGACAGTTATTTATTGACCACCAGTTATGGACCTGGCCTCATACCCTGATAAGCAAGATATGCAAAAGAAAAAAAAATCTGCCTTTTTGAAACTTATATTGTAATGGGGGAGACAAGCATTGAGCAAATTTTTTTAAATAATATTGAATAATGACAGCAGGTACTATGACGAAAAATCAGCCAAGGAGAGGGAACGTGCTGTGACATGGGGTGAACTATTTTCAAGAAGGCGACGAGGCAAGTTTCTCTGAGGAGGTGATCCTGACACTTGCAGGATGGCAGGGTTGGGCCAGACCATGGAGGATCTGATGTCAGTGAGGTTCTCAGGAGAATAGGGAGCCATAGAAGGATGAGCAGCACCTGAGGTAGGCGCTCTTGTCACATGTAATAATATCCCTCTGGGGTCAGCATGGGGCAAGGCATCTGCGCTGCAGAGGGCTTCCTACCTGCTCCAGCTGCTTGATGGTATTTTCCTGCTGGTTCTGGATTTTCTGTTGCTCGAGGGCACTGGATTCCAGCTTCCAGAGCCTCTCCTTCAAGCCAGCAACGGAATTTTCCCCCAAAGAGGGAGACCCCAGCAGTTCTTGTTTCTGGGCCTGTAGCATCTCCACCTCTTGCTTCAAATGCAAGGTTTCCTGCTCCTTTTGCTACAGAGACAAATGGGGTCACGATGGGAGTCACATGCCATCCCTTTCCCCAGGGCATGATGCGTTCCACTATTCAGCGCATGCCATCTCCCCTTCACAGCACGGCCCCTTACAGTGCCCCCTGTGGACCACCAAGGGCTGCTCTCTGGGGCAGCTCAGATGGGCAGTGTTGGGGGCATTTTTGAAGATTTATTTTATTTATGCATAAAAGAGCTGGGGTGTAGGTCAGAGGTGCAGGGGTGGGGGGGGTGAGAGGATTCACCAGAGACAGAGTGGGGAACAGAACAGGCGGATCTACTGAAATGCACTGCTGAAGGGAGCAGCGGGTCAGACAGGAGAGGTCTGCTGTGCCATGTGGGTAGCTCCCTGGCTGGGGATTGAACTCATGCTGCAGTGGCTGCCGATAGCTTCATAGTGCTGAGACATAACCCTTTGGGCCACCAGAGAGGCCTATTTGTTCTGGGGGCATTTTCGTGCCAGCAATACCACTACCTTAGAGTTAAACCTCCACATGCATAAGGGAAATGTCCAGTGTCTTTGTAAGCTGTGTACCTGCTGAGGTTCAGATTGACATATGGGAGCAGGGAGGAAAAATATTCAAAAATGAATCTTCGAGGTTAGAAGTCAGTCCCAGGATCAAAGAATTTTGGGCTAGAACCATGAAAGAACTAAATGCTAGACTAAGAGATTTAGAGGTTCTCTTGGGGGCCTTAGGGAGCCACTGAAGTGTGAGGGGCAACCAAGTGAGATGCCCATATTGCATTTTAATAAAATCCCTGTGCACGAAGCCAGCCTATGGATGGGCTTTAGGTAATTCGTTCTCTGACGAGCCTCTCACACCTCCCAGGTGGCTATCTTGGAACTCATGCAGGTGACCGGAGCAATGTCTTAAGTGACATCACATCAGGGAGGTCTGACATCAATCTTCCAAGCACTGGGGATCTTTATTAAGGCACAATGGGTCCATGGCTCCGGCTGGCTGGCAGACTGGCACACCTGCACAGAGCTCTCTCCCGGTCACTGTTTACAGCAGATGCACGTGGGGTTTCCTGAAGGCCAGCGACCAAGAGCCCAGATGCCCTGTGCTCCAGCCCTTACCGTTAGCTGTTGCTGAAGCTGGCCAAGTTCCCAGCGGACACTGGTGTTCTCCTGGGTCACCTTCTCGCGTAGTCCCTTCTCAAACACAGACTCGCCCAGGGCCTGGGCCAGCTGCATGTCAAACCTGCCCAAGAAGAACACATCAGGGCACCCGGAGCAGAAGAGGAGAGGGGTAGAGAGTTTGTCAAGAGTCAAGAGAAGAAAGGGAGGGGCGGAAATGACGGAGGATTGTGCCAGGCTTTCCAGTCAGCCTGCGGGTGTAGGGTAGGGTCTGGAATTCCAAGAGCAACTTTTAGAGTTTTAATAGAGTTTCCACAGGAATACTGGACACATTTAACATGACAAAAAGATAAAATTAAAATAATATTATATACAAACAGAGAATGAAAAATATAGATATCTAGAATAAGCTCATCAATCTACTAGGCCTGGGGTGGCATCTAATAGTTACTGAAAAGTGAAAGAAGGAAGGCAGATGGCCACAGACAAGGGGAGTGTCATTCTCATCTTGCACAAGCTGTAGTGAGGCCTAGGCACTCACCAGCTATACTTGGTCATGGCAATGACTGACAAATGTCGGGCATTTATGTACTCAGTCTCGTCTTCATTTGTCTCCTCAGCAGAAAGCACAGACTAGACGGTCCTCCAGGGAGCCATGTGGAGAACCAGGAGAGGCTTCTACTGGGACCCACTACCCACCCCCCTGAGGATGCCCACTGGGTGGAGAGCACGCCCTCGACTTGCCATCACTCCATGCAGCTGTCTCGGGCTTCTAGCCTGATTGCAGATGTGGAGACCAACAGAGGAGGCTCTGTCAAGTCTCAACAAGATGAGATTCTCCTTGTCCTCAGTCCACACAGAAAGTTGCCCTGCTCCAGGCAACTTGTTGAGGCCTGAATGAGATTTAGGCCTGGTGAGAAGGTCTCCTGTGACACAGGATTATCCAAGGTCTCTCAACACCAGATGGTCATTCAAAGCCTCAGACTCCTGAGAAAGTCAGTCTGGGTCCTGTAAGGGAGCCCCACTGTTGGAATGCCCCAGGACCTCTCTGATTGGCTACTGGGGATATCACTCAGGAGGCATTATTGGCTACCCCTGAATGAAAACATTGTGATGATGACAATGATCCAAGTCCCAAAGGGCCAGGTTCCAGGCTGGGTCCACAGAGTCCTTAGAACGATTCAGCAAGAAGGGGAAACCAAAGTTAGGAGAGGTGGTGTGATTCAGCCCCAAATTCCAAAGTGGTAGAAGTGGGCCTGAGTCCTGCTTCTCTACTGTCTTGGTCAGTCCCCTACACACCTGCCCCTACTCTGGGACAGGTGGGCTAGATCAGTGGATGCCAGACAGTGACTGGCGTTTCAAAGGCGTCCTTGACTTAACAGGCCACTTGATGCCAAAGAATGGATCCTACAGATGCTAACTTCTGGAACCACCGATTAACTAACTACCCAAGGTCAAGTGGGTTTGAACACTCTTCACCCCACTAAGAGTGGGCCTGGAGTCCAACTCCCACAAGTGTAGGAGTTACAAGCCCAGCACAGGGGTTACCCCAAGGAAGCAAGCTGGGAATTCCATCGGTCCTCAACTGAACTTTGTGATGCATGGGGTAGCCCTGGCAGTAAGAATCAACTCTAAATGGAATCATTCTGGGTCACTCTGAACTTAGAAGCCACAATGGGGACTGGAAACTCTACGAGTGTGTCTTGGTTCATGAAGGAGGAGCCCACATGTACAATTTGTATACACTTAGAGTTGAGGATGTATATTGCTAACTTCTGAATCTCGCACTACAGTCCTGCCTGAATTTCCATCATTAGAATCAGCCTTCTACTGCTTTCATAGACTCCCTGCCAAAATGCTAACCCACCTAAAATGCCAGTGGCTGCTCTCTGCAATCAGAATGAAAAATACTAACTTTGGCCAAGAGATGACAGCGGAGTAGAGCACAGCACGGCAAGTAAGTTCTGAGAGAAGAAAGTCCTAAGTATGAAGACATAGGGATTCTTCTGGGGTGCCTCACAGGGAGGTTCCTCACTACCTGGAATAAGGGATTTTTGCCCAAAGGATTGAGCAATAGACCAAAGATGCAATTTTCTGGTTGCATAAACTCCGGGGGCAGGTGTCCAATCCTATAGAGAGCTGAGACTCCCCATGAGGCCACACACAATGGGAGAGGGTGGGCCACAACTGTCATATCTCAAAACAACCTGGGAGATCATAAGTCCACACCTCTCTGATTTACAGAAGGAGTTTGTTGGGTCCCTTTTACAGGAGGCCTCCTTAAAGTCTAGGGCTCCTCTCTGGCCCAGAGAGGTGGTGTCTTTTGATGAGATCACAGAGGAAATGACAAAAGGACTAAGCTCCTTTCCCTACTGCAAGGGCAAACTTTAGCCTGAACATACACAAGAAGGTGGGGAAGGAAACAGTTAAATATCAATATGAAGATAACAAACCTCTCTCATTTGGGGAGCATGCTAGCAACCTTTAAAAGTTCTTTATTTTTTTTCCGATGAAGAAGCCAGCTCAGGAAATCTCAAGGTTAAGTGAGAAAAACAATATTTAACACAGATCAAGCTCAAAATCTATGCCACTCCTATGGAAACATAATTTAGCTTGGAATTAAGCTTTCTTGGAAAAGAGGTGCTCTCAGCAAAACCATGTCCCTGGCTCACATGAGAACACTTTTCTGTATTTTTATCCTGGACCTTCTAAAAGAGGCTGCGTTTCATCTATTTGCTGCATATGAAGTCGCCATTAGGGCTTGCCTCACTCAAACAGGACCTCTGCACACATTTTCCCTCACAAAGCGAGCTGAAGAACTTCACACACAGCACGGCATCCAGGGATAAAAGCATCATGGGTACTGAGTTTTTGCATAAAAAGCCCTTGAGCATGAACCTGGACTCCAGCCCAGGCTCCACCATTGGCTGCTGGGACCACATCCTGAGGAGCAATCCAAGCGTGGGGATCAGTGAGCAAATCCGAGTGGCATCTTGTTTCTACACAAAGATCAATCCCAGCCAGAACTGCTTACCTGACCTGAGAGCTTAAACCCTAAATGGAAAAAGCAGTGACTTGATTTTTTGGCTTCCTCCTCATTCTCTTGCCCTGTTTCCGACAACCATAATAGGAAGCTTCATTTATTACCTTTGCATGAATCAACTGTATTATCCAGTCCTCACCACAAGGGGGCGTTCTCATCCACTCCCCTAACACACTCCCCCCCCCAATCCCTCCGGCCTAAGACTAAAGAAAGAATCTGAGGCTGTTAAATGACTTTAACTGGGGGCCAGAATGGACATCAGCACTTGGACTCCAAACTACCACACTAGGCTTTCTTTGCCTTCCACAACAAACTCTTCACTTGATAAATGGGAATGTTGGGACCCAGACAAAACAAGAAAGTTCTCCAAAGCCACATAGCCAAGTGGTGATAGAGTTGAGCCTGCAGAACAGAAAAGAATCTTTCCTAGCTAGATTCTTGGAAGAATCTTACAGGAATAAGGTGTGAAAAGAGGAAAACTAGGGCAGAAAAAAGTGGGGGCGGGGGTAAGTCAGCCCCATGGATAAAGAGGCCTGACAGCAGGGAGGGAGGTTAAGAGGAAAACCCAGAAACCCCAGAAGACCCTGGGACCAAAACAGCCCACCCTGGCAGCGAGGTGCTGATCTGGATGGATCATGACTCACTTCTTCTGCTTCTTCTCAAGCTCATGGTTTCGGCTCTGCTGGTTCTCCAGCAGGAGGCGCGTGTCCTCCAGCTCACAGGTCAAATGGCGGCACTTCCTCTTCAGCTGATGCGCCATGTTCTTGGAGCCCTCGTAAGCGCTCTGCAGCTCCCCAAGCTGAGGAAGGAACGAGATGAATTACCCCACTGTTGACACTGAACAAACTTTCTACTTTTTCTTTCAAGCTGCTGCCACTTCCAAGGTGCACATAATGGAAAAGACCAGACTCAGGAAGGGGGAGAACCTGTCTTGGCCACTTTCTCCCTGTTTCACTTTGAGTAACCTACTCCTCTGAGCCTTAGTTTGCTCAGGAGTAAAATGGGAGTAATTCCATTCATCTCCTGGGGTGGTTTTGACTTTTCCTCAATAATCCTCCTGTCAACATACCCACGGATTTTTTCACAAGCCCTGCCTCAGCTTGATAGCCCCTTGAGTGCAGTAACATCAATATCCGCATTAGCTGGCATAATCTGTGGAGTCAGGTGATGATTAGCCATGAGGATTCGCTCTGAAACAGTCAAAATGGCACACCTAGAAAATCTGACCAGGAAACCCTAGGGACAGGCTCTAAAGGTTAGCACAGGAAAAGGTACTTTAGATGGGCTCGATTATACAGAAAGGCACATGACCGTAAACAAACAGAAAAGCAAAGCCTCTTGCATCTTCCTCCAGGATCACCCTCCCAAATGTCCTAGTTTAGATCTGCAAGAGAGGGCAACTCAGCACACTCGCTTTGAAAAAATGGCCTCATTAAAGAATTGCTTTAAATAAGCAAAACGCTGAGTTAATGAAGCCTGTAATTCTAAATTCAGTATTTGAAGGCAAATGGGATGTTTTCTTATATTCTGCTGCTCAGAAAAGGTTGCAGTTTTATTACTTTTTAATGTAGCATGAATATTCTACTTCCTTGGGGAAACTGACCCAACTTTGTAATTTGTTATTAAAGAAACCAGGCTGTTTCCCTACAGTTGTCCTTCTGGGTTTATCTACAACTCAAGATGCCTCTTGATCACAACATGATGTCCATCTTGGAGGCCACAATGAAACCCTCCCTGAGGAGGATACTAAAGTTTGCTTCTATTGTCTATAAACTTAACGTGATCTAACCCTGGCCCACCTCTGCAAGGTGATCACATGATACTTTCTTCTTACAATAAGGAGATAAAGATAATAGTAGAACTGGCAAATATGACACCTTGACCATCACAGCACTTGCCTCTAATGGGGGAGACCAAGAAATAGGTTGGTAATTACAATGCAACATGATAAAGATTACATTTGAGGAAACAATTTAGAGGCACCTGACCCAATCTGTGCCAGACAAGACTTTCTGGAGGGAATGACATTTCAGCTGAGATCTTAAGGATAGTTGGAGATACCCAGGTAGAGGAGAAAAAGAGTAGTTTAAGAAGAGCAAATGACATGGCCCAGGGGTGAGAAGAAATAAGGTATTTTCCAGGAAGGGAAAAAAAGATGCAATGAAACAGAATAGAGAGACCAGAAATAGATCCAGAGAAATATAGTCTATTGATCTTTCACAAAAGGGCAAAGGCAATACAGTGGAGGAAAAAAGTCTCTTCAGCAAATGTTGCTGGAACAAGTCAGCATCCACATGCAAAAAATGAATCTAGACACTGACTTTACACACTTCACAAAAATATTAATTCCAAATGGATCACAGACCTAAATGTAAAAAGTAAAACCGGTAAAATTTCCAGAGATAACATGGGTGACAGGTTTGGAAATGATTTTTTGAGGTATGATTCTAAAGGAATGACCCAGGGAAAAATCAATAAGCTGCATTTTATGAAAATTAAAAATTTCTGCTGTGCAAAAGACACTATCAAAAGAATGAAAAGACAAGTCACTGATAGAGAAGATATTCATAAGACATATTTGATTGGGAGCATTATCCAAACACACAACTCTTTAAACTCAAAAATCAGAAAACAAATTCAACTTAACAATGGCCAAAAGACCTGAGCTTACCAAAACTGCCTAGACCAGGGCAGATGGCATGTAAAGAGGGCTCCACACCATATATTCTGAGGGAATGCAAATTCAAATGAGATGCCACTATACACCTACTGGAGTGGCCACTGGCACTGACATCAAATGCAGGTGAGGATGTGCAACAGCAGCCGCTCTCATCCATTGTTGGTGAGATGCAAAATGGCCTGCAACTTAGGAAGACAGTATGGTGGCTTTTATAAAACTAAATACGCTCTTTCCATACAATCCAGCGATTGTGCTCCTTTACCCAAAAGAGATGAAAATTTATGTCCATAGAGAAATCTGTACACAGAACTTCACAGGAGATTGACTCATAATTGCCAAAACTTGGAAGCTACCAAGATGTCCCGTGGTAGGTGAATGGACAAATACACTGTAATATAGTCCAACAATGGAATATTTTGCACTTAAAAGAAATTAGCTATCAAGTGATAGAGGGAATTAAATGCAAATTGCTAAGTGAGAGAAGTCTATCTGAAAGGCTACAACTGTGCGATTCCAACTGTTTGACATTCTGGAAAAGGCAAAACTATAGAGACAACAAAATGATCAGTGGTTACCAGGTGTTGGGGGGAATGAAGGATGAGCAGGCAGAGCACAAAGATTTTTAGGGCAGTGAAACTACACTATGAAACTAACACGGTATACACGTGCCATTATACATTTGTCCAAACCTACAGAATGTACAAGAGCAAGTATAAGCCATAATGTGAACTAAAGAACTTTGGGTGATGACATGTCAATATAGGCTCATCAGTTGTAACAAATGTCCCGCTCTGGTGAAGGCTGTTCGTAATGCAGGGAGTTATGCATGTGGAGGAGCTGGTAGTATATGGGAAATCCCTGTACCTTCCCCTTAATTTTTCTGTAAACTTTAAAGTGACCTAAAAAAAAGTCTTTTGAAAAAGACAATTGAATGTGTTTGGACTTCGTGGTGTGCTGGAGCTGGTTTATACTGACTTAAGGATGCTGATTGCACCCATCCCACCCCAATTCCATGTTTAGTGACACATCACACTGGTAATCTGAAATTGGCTATGTGGGAGTATTTACACCATGGTAATTAGCAATTGGTATCAGGGCTTTTATATGTTTATCATCACACCACTGGTTAGATTACAGACTAGTTAGAAAAGAACCAGTCTGCATAGTAGATTTGTGGTGGCTGAAGATGATGGAAGAAAGCCAAAGAGATTAAACTGTCACTACACTGATTTAGAGATGCTGGACAAGATTACATTGTATTTGGAATGTCTAGCTGCACTTTCAAAAAAGCATAGAGAATTTGGGGATATCAGAAATGCAGAGAACATAAAACAAGAGCATTATTGGTAGAGATTTATGGCAGGTAGGGTGGAAGACAAGGGGAGCTGTTTGGTAGATGCAGAAGTGTCCTTAAGGATAAGGCTGTGTCTCAGTGTGCCCTTGGCCAGCGGGGAGTTGGAATGAAGAGCCTTGTGTTAAGTCAGTTCTCTCAAAGAGCTGCCTCTCAGTAAGATGCAGCAAGAAATCGCCATCCACTGGCCTGTAAAGATGGTAAGAAAGCTGGCTGCCACTCTGGCTCCAGGCAGGGGGAAAAGAATTAAATTCCCAGGTCTGTGGTTCTTGTGGGTTTAGAACTCAAATCAATACTTTGCCCATGTTGCAACCATTTGAAACTGAGAATTTAGCATAATCTCAGGCTGCTGAGAAGTGCAAAAGTGCTTTTTCAGGAGGAATATGTCCACAACCTTATAAGCAAGACTCCTAGTAAAATCAATAAAAATACTAAAGAATTAAAAAACAAGACCAACAAAATAAAAAACAGCTAAACACAAAACAATTCACCTGGAGAGTCAGAAGGAAAATAAACATTCCATAACACAGACCACCTGGGGCTATTGTTGGGGTCCAGGGGAGAAGGGAGGTTGTTAAAAATGAGCTCACAATGAAAATTTACTAAAGAATTCACCATGAAAGTTGGCATAATTTGGGATAGCAGAACAAGCTGCAAGAAACTCCGAAGATCCCTTGGCTACTGTACGGCGGAGGGGAGACCTGGGAGGAGTCTGTCGTTCTGTTCTAGATGAGAGTTGAAGGTGGCAGGTTAGAATAAAGGCAATGGGAATGGATAAAATTTGGCTATTTTAAGAGCAGATTGCAATCATTTTATAGGTGAGAAATATGAGATCCAAAAGGTAAAGTGATTTCCACAAGGTCAAAGCAGAGATGGAACTGGAACTCCAAAATCCTAAGTTAATGTTCATTTCTTTACACCACAGAGTATTCTTTCCTTGTGTAGAAGACCTGCGTATTTTGCATATCCCACAGAAACTGCTTTGCATATCCCACAGTGACCAGACTTTGTAGTAGTGGTGGAGTGAGAAATGGTCTGTCCTCTGGTCAGCCATGTCCATCCTCTGGTCAGCCATGTCCATCCCTGGTCAGCCACCCACAGTGGAGATCAGAAACCAGTAGCTCGCTGACACACTGTGTCCAGACTACCCTCCACCTCTTACCTTCTGTTCCAGCTCTTTCCTGGATGTCAACTCTGAGTCCAACCTCTCTTCAAATTGCTGTAGCCGCTTTCTGAGGAACTCATTCTCCATCTGAGCGCAGTCGAAGCGCGTCTGCCACTCATCCGCTGTTACCACGGATGCAGGGAGGCAGGAAGAAAGGCTCGTGAGATAGGATGGCTCACTTCCATTTTCTCAGCTTTTTCTACACAATTACGTATTTTCAGAGCGTTCCCGAGGATCAGTACTGAACTTCAGGTTAGGAAATCCTGCTTTAAGTTCAAGCTTAGGAGAAACCCACTGCCTCCATCAGCTTGTCATGACCACCTCTAGGAGCTTAAAGTTGTTGATTGCTTCCCATTCTAGCCTTGGTTGCTTTAAGTGTACATGTATCTATAAGTGTACGTGTATCTTTATTTTCCCAAGAAACTCCATAATCCTGAGGGTAAGGAGCTCTTTTAGTCAAGTGTGGGTCCTCAACACCCACTAGAAGAGTTTCAGGCAGAAGATTCTCCCCATATTGATACAAGTTTACCAATTGGAATTATCCTACTGACCAACCACATGGGGTGGCAGAATATGGAATCAGTGACTGTTGGTTGAATTAACAAATCAATGAGCAATAATTGAAGGGTCTACTGAATGCAGAGTGACAGAGACGTTAATCATAAGACTTCTCTATGAGATAATAGAACAAGCCCATGACTTGGTAAAAATCTAAAAAAGTCATTTATTGTTGTGATGAAAATGGTTTGGCTCAATAGAATCAATTGGGAAAGGTCTTGTTTTTGTTTTTCTTCAGGAGGGGATTTTTAAAAATTTCTCTCTATATATTTTACATCATTATTCATTTTTGTACAGTTTACTTTCTCCTCTCAGGTGTAGTCCCCATAAAATTCCTGCACCAAGTCACCCATGAACCATCACCACAGTCTCTTATGCTCTTTCTGTCCCACTGTAATTTTTCTCCCTCCTTCTCCCCTGATGAAAGACTCCAATTTATAGTTACTTGCTAGTTTTGTCTTTTTTTCCCCTGATCCCTTATTTGACTGGTCCAACCACTATGGAAATCTGTGTGAACATTCTTCAAATTACTAAAAATGGAGCTACCATGTGACCCAGCAATTCTACTCCTAGGGATCTACCCAAAGGAAACAGAAACATTAATTCAAAGGGAAACCTGCACCCCTATGTTTATTGCAGCACTGTTTACAATAGCTAAGCTATGGAAACAACCTAAATGCCCAAAAAAAAAACAGATGACAAGATGGATCAAGAAGATTTAGTGTATATATATATTTAGTATATAGTATATATATTTAGTATATAGTATATATATTTAGTATATAGTATATATAGTATATATTTTATAGTATATATTATATTATATATATATTATAGATATAGTATATACTATATATTAAATATATATACTATATATACTATATATAGTATATATATACACAATGGAATGCTATTCAGCAATCAAAAAGATAAATTTGTGCCATTTGCAGCAATATGGATGGCACTGGAAGGTATTATGCTCAGTGAAATAAGTCAGAAGGATAAAAATATCAGATGGGTCTCATTTATAGGAGGAATATAGGGAAAAGGTCTTATTTTTTGACTGTCTGAATAAAAGAGTAATGTCCCTTAAGGTAATGGAGTTGCAGGAAAAAAATGCCACAAGTGGAGAGATTAAGTTAGACACCATACTCTCTCCCTCTCCATCCACCCATCCATCTCTCCATCCATCATCCATCTGTCTGTCCATCCATCCATCCATGCATCCATCCATTCATCCATCTTTCTGTTCATCATCCATTCATCCGACCTCTATCTGTCTCTCTAGTCATCCATCCAACTATCCAACCATCCATTATATACTCTTCCCTCTACCTTCCATACATTCCAGTGCTTAGTGAGCACACTGTTCCATACCAGGCACAAGGGATGATGAAATGAAGAAGAAACCAAATTTTCAGGAATCTAGTGGAGGGGAAAAATATTTTAAAGACAGCTGCAACCTAGAATGAGCAGGGCTCTCACAAGTAAACCTTCAGAAATCTCTCCATAAGACTCAAACTCATAAGGGTAGCAAATTTTCTTTGCCCATCACTATGTCTCTAGGGCTTATGCAATACCTAGCATATAAATGCAACAAAATTTTCATTAAATGGGGGGATGAATGGATGGATGTTAGGATGTATGGAGAGCTGGATACATAAATGGACACAGGCACTCTGTGCTAAAATGTTCTTCAAAGTGAATGGTGGGTGACAAAACTAATGTTACCCCTTCTTCAGGGGATCGCCAAACTCCCTGCACATGGGTGTCACTCATGGGTGCATAGAATTCATGACTATTATCCAGTCACATTTTTCCTGGGTTTATCTGACCTCCCTATTTATATCCAAGCTTTTTGAGAGCAGGACCCAACTAAAATTCTTCTGGGGCACCCACAGGATCCAACTCAGTGCTGGATGAATACCACGAAAGGGTCTCTTTAAATACTTAACCATGCATAGAGGGAAAAACATTTTTGAAAATAATTCATACTCCAACTTAATCCATGGAGGAAGTTGTGGTGGCATTGGAATGTGGGAGTTAAAGTGTTTTATTGCTTCTTTCAACTTTCCTATATTTTTGAGATTTTCTATAATGAGTATGTATTACTTTCATAATGAAAAACAAAATATTTGTGGGCTGGTTTCTGGAAGGAGCGTCTAGAGTGGAGAGCCCATGCAGCATTGTGATGAATATGCTCGTGAACGAAGCATATCTTTCCTTCCTAGTCAACTCCCATATCTTTCCACAGAAAGACAGAGTGAGAGTAGCACTTAGACATAAATCAAAACCAGGCAGCGACTAGGCTGACACCCTTCTGGAGAGAAGGAGCCGTTCTGTGCACACACATCCCCACTCTGTGCACCATCCTACTCTGTGGTCTCCTGTATCAGAGACTCTCACGTTAACCTCCCGGTGAACCTCTGTCCTAGGGGTAGCCGACATCAGAGGAAAAGAGAGTGAGGAAGAAAATGCGCCCTGACTCATCTCTATCACCTCCTGACCTCTGTTTCTCTTGAGTGTCCCTGACATTTCTAGGGCATAAATTCTCTGGGGATGTTGAAGGACTGATGCTAATGCTTTATAAAAGCTGAAACACTGGACACCCTTCTCACCTGACTCATCTGGACTGGGGAGAGGAACTAACCAATATGCCACCATGCCATTCCAACCCTGGAACGTGAGTCTCCGAGCAGGTTGTGAGATGGCACCTCTGAACTCCCTGGCTCTGCTGAGCACACACTGCACTGGGCCACCCAGGGGCCTCTTGTCTCTCCATTCACTCAGTAATTGCCTGACACTGCTTTTATTTTTTTATTTATTTATTTTTAGTTTTTTTTTTTTTTTAAATAATAAATTTTATTTTTATATTCCCCATACAATTGCAACCCCCCCATTCTGACCCCAATCCCTCCCCTCCCGCCCCTCACCCCCCAAAAAGTGTCTCTGGTTCATAGTTTTTTGTTGATTTTGATTTTCACTTTCTTATAGTTATTCAATTTCCTGGTCCCTTATTTAAGTTTTCTAGATTCCTGCTATGAGTGAGACCATCCGGTATTTTTCTTTTTCTTTTTGGCTTATTTCGCTGAGCATGATCCCTTCCAGTGCCATCCATGTTGCTGCAAATTGCATGTGTTTATCTTTTTTGAATGTTGAGTAATATTCCATGGTGTGTATGTACCACATCTTCTTGATCCAGTCATCTATTTTTAGGCATTTGGGCTGTTCCCAAAGCTTAGCTATTGTAAATAGAGCTGCTATAAACATAGGGGTGCAGGTGTTCTTTGGAATTGATGTTTCTGTGTCCTTTGGGTAAATACCTAGGAGTGGAATTGCTGGATCATATGGAAGCTCTATGTTTAGTAGGTCCAGAAATCTCCACACAGCTCTCCATAGTGGTTGGACCAGTTTGCACTCCCACCAACAGTGCAGAAGAGTTCCTTTTTCTCCACACCCTCGCCAACATTTGTTGTTGATAGTTTTTTTAATATGTGCCATTCTCACTGACTGACACTGCTTTTAAATGAAGACAGTAGTGGATTCTGTGCCAGGGCTTCAGTGAGTGCTACTGCCACTGCAACAGGCAGCTGTAATCCTGGGTGCCATTCCCACTAGTGGGAGAGATGCTAATGAGGATAGAGCAGCTACCAGCTAATAGCACTCTGTGCCAGGTAAGTGGCTCAACACTCTCCATCATCTATGACTAAATCCATTTGAAAGATGAGAAAACCAAGGCATAAAAATTTCTTTACCCAAAGCCACTTTCCTGGTAAGAGAGAGTCTCGATTCTAACCACTGAACTACTTCCCTCAAAATGTATATACTAAATATTCACATAAATATAAAGATGCCTTGTCCATAGAGCCACTTTTTTTTTAACCATCCTTTACATTATTACTAGAGAGTTTACATCCCATTGATAATTTATTATTTGGGGGGCTGTTGGATTATATGTTTAATGTCTGTGCCAATGGACTGTAAGCTCCAACAGGGCAAAGGCCATGCCTGTTTGCTCTGCCAAAATCTCGGTCCTTAATGCAATATCTAGCACATAGTAAGTGTCAGTGTGTAGGATGGCCAGATGAATGAATGAAATAAAAACATAGCTTTTTAAAAAACAAAAATAGCTTTTTCCATCAGCATGCAACCTCATGGGTGCAAGTCTGCTCACCTCCTCCGGTGTGACTCCTTTCCAAGTCAGTCAACTGAATTTTCTGCTGCGCTTCTTCCAACTGCTTCACCACTTCTCCCAAATTCTTCTGAACTTCCTCATACTTGCTCTGAAACAAAGATCTTGAGGTCTAAACTGGAGTTGGGTAGAAGCCTAGGGCAGCTCTCTCCTTCATGGAGCCTCCCAAATCAGGACTAGCCACCCCCCATGCAGTCCTTGTGCATGATGACTCCATAGGCAGGGGCTGCCCATCCTTTGCAGTCTTCTCTCATGGCATCTCCAAGCCTTTGGAAGACCCAAATGTACCTAGGACCTTGAGCAAGGAGGTCAGTAAGCCCGTGCATTTTGCTATGGGGAATCCCAGATATACGCAGATGGGGGCAGGCCCAACTGGGTCCTATCAATGGCTTAGCTCCCCTCTCCCACACCCCTACAAATCCTGGTCATTCACCTTCACCTCCTGGACCTCCCGGAATGCCCGCAGCCGCTCAGCCCGTTCACTCTCTAGCACCTGGCAGGCCACGTCTCCTTTGAAGCGTTCATCAGTGAGCTCTGTGGTCAAGTCAGCAATCTGGGACAGGGAGGGTTACAGCATGGTCACTCATGCAGACGACGAAGTCTTCTCCCCTAGTCACACTCCCCAGGGCTACCCTTAGGCGAATCACTGGCTTTCATTGCAGTGCTACCCGTTTGTGCAATGAGATGTCAGAGGATGGACTTCAGAATTTTATTGGTCTTGATGTATGAGGTTATTGACTCAACACTCAACAGCTGTGTGACACTGAACCAAGAAAAATGCCTATCTGATACTCAGTATTTTCTGTTTTAAAAGGGGAGGCAATAACTTATAGAATTGTATTGAGAATTAAGTGAGATAATCCCATAAAGATGAACATAGTGCCTGGCACACGGTAAGTGCTAAAAAGAAAAAAAGTCAAACAACAAACTATTCAAGCAGAAGCTCTCCTTAACCAACCCCCACCATCTCACTGACCCATACATTGGCTCCGCAGAAGGACAGATCAACAGACATCCACCACATCAGAAAGTTCTCAAAAGGAAGCCCATGTGGTACCATAGGGCTGTGGTATACCTGTCTATACCACGTGATAGCCATGCACACCCACTATCCACTGATTGTGTTCCCCACATGTTTATGCTTGGTGCACTTGCATTATAGTTATTTATTCTGTTAGCTATTACATAAGCCTATAAAATATGACCGGACAGAGAGTTTCCATGAAAAGTAGGTTGAATGCTTTGGAAGGAATAAAAAAAAAAGGGTGAGCTGCTTTATAAAATTCTGTCAAACAGGAGAAGGCGCAAAGACTATAAAAATGCAAAAGTAAAAAATTAGATTTCTGCATTCAAATTATTTTGCCATTTGCTCTGTTTTAGAGAAAGCAAAGCAGGAAATCATAAGGTTGTGCATTAAAGGTGTGGCTTAAGTAAGAAGTGGATCTCGAGACAGATGCTCACAATCAGAGAAGGCTTTGGTCCTGCCTCAGGAATACAGCGAGCTAAAGCAGACATGTTTACAGCTAAAAATAAAAAGGTTTGCTGTTCAATGAATTTCAACTTGCACTTTTTTCTCTTTTCAATTTACAGAACAACTACAGACACCAAATGGGCCAGGGCTCCAGTGGCATTGTTACAGGTACACCTCCGTGAAGGAGAGGTGCCAGTTCCCCACTCTCATCTGTGGCTGCCTGGGTTACAGGTCCCAGCGCGCCATGAACAGGACTTCCTGAGCGAGGAGCTGCTGAGAACTAGGGGTGGAGCTGAGCGGCCAGGGGTAGTCACATAACACAGAAGGCCAGTGGGCTCTGGGCCTTTGGCTTTCACCCAGGGGTGGGGGGGGGGAAATGACTTGGCAAGAGATACATGGAGAGACATGGAGAGACACATGAGTGAGAGACACATGGGAAGGCTGTCCTTGGCAGAAACCATGGCAGCCATTGTCTTGATTTGAGCTTTGACTTTGCACCTTCTGCTCCAGACCTGCCTTACCCCTTTCTTGCTGTTTCCCATCATAAGAAGGTACCTTAGACTTGCAGCAAGCTTTGGGCCTTAGTGGCTCCGCTTTGGGTCAAAGGTGTTTGACTGGGCAATTGCCCACAAGGGGATAGGTAATTTGGGGGGTTTTATTGGGAAACTATTATTAGGAATATTTTCTCTTCCCTCTCTATGTACCCTAATCCTATTCACACTAAGAAGCTGTTTTCTTTGCCTTTGTCAAGCGAATGGCAAAATCCCTTTTAGAGCAAACACCATTTAATAATTTGGGGTCATTGGGTACCCTTTGGTCCCACAATAACAGTGCTATTGTTTTAAATACAGTATTCAAATTCAAGGCTAAGCTAAAGAAAGTGAGAAATGTCAGTAGATTATTTATGAACAAGAGACTTAGAAACAACCTGGCACAGAAGAGGCATTGTATGTAAGAAGTTACCCATTAGGCAATGCAGCAATTAAAGTCAAGAGGGAGAAAGAGAAAACAGAAGACAAAGAGACAAGGTACACAGGGCTTCAGTTCAGACACATCAGTTCACGTACAGCGTGACCTTGGGCAAGTCTCTTTCCCTCTAGTGCTAGAAAAGGTATTAAATTCAAGTGCACTGAGTCAGCCAATGTTGTGCTACCAGCGTTCCCATTCTATGCCATTAATGTTGTCCCTGGAGGCCCTCTGCACTGGACTGAGGGGCAACTGTAGTGTGTCAGCAGACAGGAGCTCAGTGTTGCTTCCAGCGTGGAATCCAACTGCCCTTCGAGCTTCTCTCCATCAATACTATCAGCTCACAGGCTGCCTCAGTATAGCTCCTTCAACTGCCCCACAGAGGAGGGGGATATAGATCTATTTGTTCTGACTTGACAAAAATTCCCCAGATACATTACCCAGGGGTGGGGGGAAGCAAAGTTGCAGAATGGAATGTTTGGCATGTTCCTGTTTTTGTTTGTACTTGCATGGAAAAAGGCACTCCCAGATGGTGGGTAGCATTATTTTTCCTGAAAGAGTAGGCTCACAGGGGATTCCAAATTCCCTAGATGAATTTCTGCACCGTTGATAATTTTTTGGACCACTTTACTAACCAGGAAATCACAAAACCTCTTTTTAACATAGTCCAAAAAATAATTGAGCTAGAAACACAGAGGCCACCATGTATAGTCTACGATCCCCACAATTTTCCCTCTTCCAGTCTGTCTGTTTCTCAGCGTATTGATCATACCAGTTACTGCACAAACCAAAATGGAGACTTAACAAGAAACAGAGGGGAACAGAAGCCTGGGGAACATTTTGAAGACACACATCAAGTGCCAGACCTGGGACTTGAATGCGCAACTCTAAGATCAAAGCAATGGCAACCAATAGAGGAGGAGCTCACCCAGGGCCTCCTAGGGGCAGCCTTTGGGGTGGGGCTTCCTTTTTGTTATTCCTGACACCTTTGCCTTTAAAGTGTTTGGGCAAGCACTGACCTTAGATACCTGGGAAGGTAGTTAAAAGATAAATTCCAGGATCTTCAGAACCCCAGACCACAGTTCTGAGGTGAAAGCCAGGGATCTGAATCTCAACACACACAAAGTTTAAAAATTTTTGATATAGAAAATGTTAGGGTGGCTTTTTAATCTTGGTCTTGCCTTGGGCTTTAAATGGGTTAGATTTGCAAGTGGGCACACAAAAAACTGGTGGAGGAAAGTGATTATTGGCACAGAGCACCACATACAGGCCTGTGTAATCCTGGAACACCCCCACTTCCCATGCTCCCAACCTCCAGCGCCCATCCCTGAGATCAGCATTGATCCCAAGCTCTGGATTGTGTTCTCTCCGCCTTAGCCAATTAGTGTGAAATTTAATTTGTGCTAATCGGCCTGAGCAAAGGGAGCACAAAATTAATTTAATGCATTAATTTTTAGTTCTACAGAACCCAAGTCTGGAGCCCAAAGGACAATTAGTCCTTTCAAGTTTGGGAAATGACAGACGATTTTCGGAGAGACAAGTAAACTTGCCTCCCTCCCCTCACTGCAGGGTCCCCAAGGGATTAGTCTACAGAGGTGAGGGGTGGTGCCCTGTCCAGAGCTGCTAGAGAACAAAATGAGAGCCAGTTTACTGAGAGGGGGGAGCCTGGTCTGCAACCCAGAAGGGTCTTTGCAGATGACTCAAGGACCAATTAACTAGAAATTATTCTGAAATCGTCCCTGGGTCTACCCCTTGGTCAAATCATTGGAATCTTCTTTCTCCTTAGGTACAAGGTCTCCAAGCATCTACCAGCAAAAAGGGGACAGAAATGAGTAAGTTTGCTGTAGTAGATTTTGCATGGTGTCAAACAAATAATAATTTGCAGTTTAGGGGGTCAGTGGGTAACAGGGAGTTGATGGATATTAAACATAAAACACACGCTGTCCTCTGACCTGTCAGTCACTCGCCATTCATCATGTAGGTGCCTGCTGTGTGCCTGATCCTCCCTCAAGAAGGTTGAAGTTCAGGGATAGAAAGCCATACCCACATGCCTGTGGCTGTCAGATTCAAGGATCCTTAAACCCCCCACATCACCTATCTGTGGAGAACCAAGAGCAGCCTCTAATTCCCCTGTGCTTTTCATTGTAATCAAAAGGAGCTGTTCATTGTAAGTCTTTGTATGAGAATGAGCTCACACTCAGGGAATGGGGAGACCTGTGATAAGCTCTTGGCACTACCATCTTCTTGAGGCCCCTCATCAGGCCTTACAAGGAGGGGTTTTCGTTATCCCCTTTCCACAGAACAGGAAACTGAGGCATTGAGTGGTGAAGTGATTTGCATCAGATCATAACAGATAAAACACAGAGGGAGTCCAGTCCTGGCAATCCAGCTCTCTCAGCCTGGCTTTTTCACCATCTCTCACAATTGCCCACCCCCAGCCTCTGGCGAGCAGCCGCAGCAGTGCCCTAGACTAGGAAACAGGCTCAGCAGGGGGAGCGAGGTGGTCAGGGCAGACCCAAGGCCAGATATGACCTGTACCCCAGCCACCCCTGCAAGGCCATGGTCAAAAGAAACCCAGGTGGACCCCCAGAAGAAGAGAAACCCTATCTCCTCTAACCTGAGCGACTAAAAGAAAAAAAATATTAGTGGCTGGTGAGCTGTTGTCTAAGAGATGAGGCCAAGGCTCAGCCTCTGGTGCCCCCCAGAGACAGGGGCAGTTATGGGCTTTCATGAGATCTAGAAGGGCCTTCAAAGACCCTAGTGATCCCCCACCAAGAGGAAAAAAAGCACAGCGATGCTTGAAGAGATTCTCTGGTCTGGCGCTCACTTTTGGATGGAGTCCAAACCTCTAACATGATTCCGATGGCCCAGCTGCATGACCTGACCCCGCCCTGTGCCAATCCACACACGTGTGATCCTCCAGCCACAGAAGCATCATGCCAGTCCCCGAGGGCACCACACACGTCCCTGCACTGTGTGCTGCTGGGTGCCTCTACCTGGGCTGCCTCCCACCTCGCCCCCTGGCTAGCTCTTGCTCATCCTTCAAGACCCTCCTCGGAGACCTCATCTCCGGCCTAGGTGGACCCTCCTCTTCTCTCGCAGCCTGTTCGGAGTCT